ATTCCAGGACGGATTAGTGAAGATAGGAAGAGGCAATGTTCAAAGAGATAACGGCTAACAATTTTCCAGAATATAAAAGATGAATATTCAATTCGGAGAAGTACAAATCCTGAACTGAATGGTTAATAACAAATCCATACTTAGACGCACTGTAGAACACCAATGGCAAAGAAAAGCATCGAAAGAAAATGAAGAAAGATTAAAGATTAAATCCCAGACCTCGCACTGAAAAGACATCAGAGGCATAATGTATGAGTTGAAATAGCTGGTTCTGAAATCCAGCTCTGCCTCTTAGAAGGTACCTACTCCAGGTAAATATCTCACCTCTCTGATTCTCAGTTTCTCACTCTAGTAAAATGGATGCCTCCCTCAGGTGACTGTTGTAGGGTAGGTTAAATGACAGTAGATGGACAGATAGATATAGTTATGCAGCATGCAACACACATAAGCGCTTTAGAAATGTCAGCTGCTGCTGTTCCTATGGCTAAGCCGCTGAGCACATTATGTCACTGGTATTGTTTATGCTTCTACCCCCCCAGAGTTCAGGGCAACCACAGCAACTAGAAAGTGTGTTGCTGGGTGGCGGGGGAGTATGAGGGGGAGCCCTCGTATTATACTCAGCCCAAACTCTGGCTTGACCCCTAAACCATGCCCCTGTGTGGTAAACTCCAGCATAGCTGAGGCTAGAAGAACCGAAATGAGATTTGGGGTGCTATCCACTACAGGAGAGACAGTGGGGACAGTTGGACTTCAATTTAAATGCCTACTGAAATAAAACAAAACAGAACAAAGAAATCAACACTCTTTGGAGGCATATAGCAAAATTCAGAGATTTTTACAGCACATAATATTCACTATATCCAGGTTACACTCCAAAATTACTCAGTAAACATAGAAATAGAAAACTTGAACTAGCTAAAAGAGAAAACATCAAAGCATATTGAAAGGATCAAAATTTTAGAATTACAGACAAGGATTTTAAAGCAACTATTATAAAATGCCTATGGATGTAAAAGAAAATATGCCTATAATGAGTGAAAAGATAAGAAATCTCAGCAAAGAAATGTTAACTATAAAAAGACACGAAATAAAAATTCTAAAATTGAAATAATATCTGAAATTTAAAACTTCACTGAGCAGACTTAACAGAATGGAGATGACAAAACAATGGCCAAAAATTCCCCAAACTCGGTGAAAGAAACAAATATATAAAATCAAGGGTCTCAGCAAACCTCAAGGAGATAAATGCAGCTGTGGCCCTTGAACCACACCGGGGTTAATCCAAGTATAACTTATAGTCTGTCCCCCAAATGCGTGGTTCCTCTGCATCCACAGATTCAACCAACCACAGACCATATAGCACTGAAGTATTTCTTACTGAAAAAAGACCTGTATACAAGTGGGCCTGCACAGTTCAAGTCCAAGTTCTTCAAGAGTCAACGGTACACAGAAAACCACACTTAGACACATCACAGTCAAACCGCTGATAACCAAAGAGAATCTTGAAAGCAGCAAAGAAAAACAAAAATTACGTACAAGGAGTAATGATTTGAATGTCCCCTGACTCCTCACCAGAAACAGTGGAAGCAGAGGACCGTGGAAGCACACCTTTAAAGGACTGAAAGAAAAAACGTCAATCCAGAACTTGACATCCAGTGAAATACCTTTCAGGGAGAAAGATGAATGAAAGACACTGTCAGACGAAAATGAAACCAAAAAAGCACACACACTAAGAACTTATTTTTTAACACACCCTTTTAAACATTGCCAGCACATGTGGACTGAAAGAAATGCTCGATGCAGTCCTACAGGCTGAAGAGGAGTGGTACCACTTGGAAACTGTACCTTCAAAAGGAATCAAAAGCATTGGAAACAGTAAATATGTGGGTAACTGTTTTAAAAACTATTTTTCCTCCTGATTTCTTCAAAATACACACAATGGTCTAAAGCAATACAAATCAAAACTTATAACTCCGTATTGGAGAATTTCTAACAGAATTTATTACTATGCAATAAAAACGGCAACATAAATTAGGAGGGTAAGAAACGGAACTATACAGTTGTCAGGTTTCAACATCTTACGTAAAGTGGTGCATTATTAACTCTAAGTAGACTGCTTCTGTCTCCACGGCTAGACTTGGAGGCCCTTACGCCCTCGGACCACGTCACATAATGCCTGGTACATAGCCTACACTTAATACATAGCAGTTTCTATAGAAGTCAGTCTCCCAAGACTTTGACTACCTGGATTCAATTCATGAGAGTCTAACAGCCCCTGAGAAGCTGAGAAAATCTAGCTTCCACCAAAAGAAACATGAGGTGCAGCAACTAGCCTAAAGCCACCTGCAGCAGCACGCACAGCGAGTTATCAAGAAACCAAGACATTAATTCATTCGCCTCTGGTTGCAGAAATGAGAGGTCTTAGTTTCAGGACAGAACGCAGGTCAAAACTACCACATAACTGCTATGATAAAATGAATACATTTCAACACGCAATACAAAGCGCATGAGTTCCTCAAAAGTATTCCACCATCCTAACGATGAATATAGTAGAATTAAATTGTGGTAATTCATATTAAGTAGGTAAAGAGGGGCAGAGGGAAGAAAGGCGTGTAAAGTTCACTGGAAATAGTAAGAAATCTGAATTACAGGGATTTTTGTTTTAAGAAGTGGAATTACAGTTTTAGTCCTGTACAGAACAAAGAACCAGGTTATCACACGGCTACCTCTCTGGGAGAGTTCTGCATTAATAGACCGCTGGTGGCCAATCAGAGCCAAAGAGGACCGGCCTCCTTTACATCCCTGGTTGGTCACATACTCTCCAACTGCAGCTCTGACCTCACCAGCGAGGCTGCAAATGCACAGCCGTCACCTGGCCTCACTATGGACAGCTCAGGACGGCACGTCCCCCCCCAGTGTGGCACAGGGAAGGGACATTAAATATCACTAAACCACACAGTGGGAAAGTTATTCCCTTCTCAATTCTCTGATTTATCAAAGAAAGTTTCATTTTGACTAGTGTGTCTTCAACACTTCCCTAAACTGGTTCACCTTCCTTTTGAACACAGAGCAGGGCTCACACTCAGAGTCCTTAGCAGACAGTTGCGTCTACCTAGAATTTTATCATGTTATTTTACTTGTGTCTTATGATATTTTGGGTAAGTTTCATGTTGAGCAATTCATACAAGTTCCCCAAAATGTGTTTAAATAAAAGAAATTATTTGATACAAAGAAAACTACAGGTGGTATATAGATACAGCAGAAATAGGAAAAGCGGTACACAAATGACAGACTTCTGAAAAATACTGGATTGGTATAATCCAAGGACAATATTCCCCACTAATAGCATCACATTCATATGTGAATAATAGTGTCTTTTACTACAAGTTCCAAATATACGTAAACATTGTCCTTTGTGTGGATCAACATCCTGGCCCCTTTCAAAATCCTACTTGAATCCAAATTGATGAGATTATCAGTGAGACTATTACTATTTACTTGTAAATGATGTATTGAATTTTTTGAACTACTCCATAAAAGCACCAGAGTTTACTAAAATGAACATGCAAGGCAGATTTGGAACCCCTTGCCACAAAGTGAATGAAAACAGCCAGCATCAACGTCAACTCTTCAACGTCAACTCTGCCAGTATTCTAACCAGATACCGTGATTAATAACCTCTTCCCATGACATTTTAATGTTGTTTATTTTTTATTAAGTCCTCAAAGACAAACTAAATCAATCAACAGTTGATGAACTATATAATAACAGAGCAGGGCTTCTCAGCCTCAGCATGATTGGCCCTTGAACCACATTCTAACAGCCCGATGCAGGGCTGTTCTGTGCATTACAGGATATTCCGCAGCCTTCCTGGCCTCAGCGATGCCAGGAGCATCCTCTCCCCACTTTGTGAAAATCAAAAACGTCTCCAGACACTGCCACAGGTCCCCAGTTGAGAACCACTGTGAAGATAAAAGCTAGGTGTTACCTGAGCAGCCCCTGGTGAGTGGATGGTCCCATAAGGGAAGGGGCTTCATGTCAGCAGG